GAGTATTTTCAAATTATTTGTGAAGTATGGGGATTTATCACTGCTGTCTATGGGAATTTATTTGTAGTGGTGCACCCTCCAGAGGCGCCGGTGGTCGGGGCCCTTGCAGGGTCTATTGCACCGTGGCACGCATCGCCCGGTGGCGAATTTTTTTCCCCAAACGACATTGCAATGGAATGTACTTTGACTGCATCTGATTGGCTCGTGCGCCACCATTACGTCACATCCAGTACAACCTTTTTCACATAAGTCATTGCCACATTTTTCTTACAACTAACATGGAGGCGTTGACTTGTATGCATGCGGCTCAGTTCGCATCCGTGCAGACTGATTTTCAAAACTATCATACACTATCGGTAAGTCATATGATTGTGACCATGCTGTAGTTTACAGATTCGGCATTTAAACAGCATTGGGTGTTGAATTGAATCGTTGGGTATCACATGAAAAGAGAAAAAAATCAGCTTTAATAATGTGTGCACACGCAATATCCATGTGCACTCGCAATATGCATCGTGTGTGCAGCGCTGCCTCTGCACATTCAAACTTCAAAGTAACATTTTCTCCCAATTAACAGTTGTCAATTTTTAAAATTGGGTCAGAATCTTGAGAGAGCGTCGCCTAAGGTGAGTGACTTTGTAGATGCAATAAAAATTTTTCTTACACATACACACGCTAAATATGTATTTGCCTGTAATCGAGGACCCCCGTCGTTCCTGTTCAAGTGTTTTACTCATTAACCTTTTAGGAAGAGCTCCCATATGTTTTGTGAACGATTGTCAATAGGGGACCTTTGGCAATGGAAATGTCTTTGTCATGCCTTGGTGTCCTTCGTGAGCAATGTCGATAATCGATTGTGCGAGTGCTTGTGGAATTACGATACGATTTCCATGCAGCAGCAGGTCGCGGTCAGTTATTGCCGTTAGTTCTTTGCGCACTTTGACTCTTGAGGGTCGCAAGAGTCTCTTAGTTGTGGGGTTGTCTCAAGAGTGTGTCTCAGCTATGGGTGGCGACCACGTCGATGGTCGACGGGAGAACCGGGTCGTCGCGAGTGGCAGTGCGGCTTTTGCCGAGGGTGACCGACTTGGGCACGGCGTTCACGGAAACGAAGTGACATGTTCCTCTGCGAGGCGTTGTTCGCGGCTGGTGGCTCTTGGATGTCCATAGGGGTGCCGTGACATATAGTCCGCGGGATTCAGCTTTCCTTGCTGATACTCAACGGTGAAGTTGTACTCCTGCAACTTCATTAACCAGCGCTCGATACTTGTCGGTGCTTGGCTGTGCTGGTTATTGAACAGTGGGACTAACGGTTTGTGGTCTGTGATGGCGGTGAAGGTGCTACCGTACACGTAGAGGTGGAAGTGAAGTATTGCCCACGTGATAGCGAGAGCTTTGCGTTCCGTCTGGGAATACCGCTGTTCAACGGGTGTCGGAGATCGACTGTCAAGAGCAACAATCGGCAGTTCATCCCTGTCGTTGCGTTGGGCAAGAATACCGGCTAGGCCGAACGGGCTAGCATCAACGAGCTATTCAGTCTTCTTGCCGGGGTCGAAGTATGCCACGGTACAACAGTGTACGACTCGTTCACGAATCTGCGTTTGCTGGTGTTCCGGTCCCCAGTTCCAGGTGTAGTGTTTCTTAGTCAACTCGCGCAGTGGGGCGGAAATAGTGGCAAGGTCTGGTAGAAAACCGGCTATAGTACGTTACCAGGCCAGGAAACTCCTGACCTCGCTGGCGTTGGTGGGGTCAGGAACTTGTTGGATGGCTTCGACTTTCTTCTTGTCGGGAGAGATGCCACTGGAACTGAATACATGACCGAAGTATTCAACACGTGACTGAACGAAATTACATTTATCTCTGTTCAGTGTTAGGTTGCATTCGCGAAGACGTTGTAGACAGGCTGCAAGTCGTGTGTCATGTTCGGCTTGCGTGCGACCACACACGAGGATGTCATCGCTGATGTTTAGCGTACCCTCCAGACCACAGAGTACTGAGGAGATCGTGTTTTGGAAGACTTCCGCTGCTGTGCTTACACCGAAATTTAAACGCTTGTAACGGAATAAGCCTTTGTGCGTTGAAAACACAGTCAGATGGCGCGATTCTGGGGCCAGCTCAACTTGGTGATAGCCTGCGTTAAGGTCCATTTGGCTGAACACGGTAGGGCCATTGACCTGAGCGAGGATATCGTCGATGGTGGGTGTTATGTGGCGTTCGCGTTTAATAGCAGCATTGACGTTTCGCATGTCCACGCACATACGAATCTCACCTGGTCAATTAGGTTTTTCGACCACATGTATGGGTGAGACCCATGGAGTTGGCTCATTGCGTACTGGCTCAATGATGTCAAGGCGAAGTAGCTTGTCAAGTTCTTTCTGAACTTTCTTGCGGACATGGAACGGGATACGACGGTGTGGCAGGGCAATCGGTCGGACAGTCTCGTCCACGTGCAGCTTGCACTGAATGTTCTTTAACTTACCGATACCAGTGAAACGATCTGCGAATTGTTCCACAAGACTGTCCATGGGCTTATGAGGGTTGTCGGGGTGAAGGTTGTAGGCCACATGGATGACGCGGAGAGCAGACACTGTTTGGAAACTGATCAACATGTCTCCAATGGTTTTGGTGACATAGAAAATGCAGTTCACTTGGGACCCCTTATAAGCAATAGAAGTGTCAAATGGGCCAACAATCTCCAGGGGTGTTGAACTACCATAGGCAAAGACTTTGGCTGCATTGTCCTTGCACAGTGGCGGTTTGGAGGACAGTTTGTTGTATACAGCCAGACACATGACATTAACTGACGCACCTGTATCAATGATGGCTGGCATGGGAGTTTCGTTGACTGTTACCGTGATAACCGGATATTTGGTGTGTGGCAATGACGATACTCCGAACACATACTCATTGTCAGATGAGCTTGTAGTACTGACAGTATGATCAACTGCATGCTCCTTTGCTCTGCTCTGAGGTTTGGCTGATTTGCCACGACTCAAACAATGTTTGGCAAAATGATTGAGTTTACCACACGAGTGGCATGTCACCCCCTTTGCTGGGCATTGTTGTGTGTGAGGAAACGTACCTCCACAGTTGCGACAGGGTTCAAAGCGTCTGGGCTTGGACGACCGTGAGGATTTTCTCGGTTCACGTTCCTTCATATGAGGCTTTGAAGTCATACGGTTGGCTGCGTCTCTGCTCGAGTGCTGGGAATGCTGTTCCATGTCTTTGGATTGGCTGTCAGCCAGTTCGTACGCTCGGGCTGTGGTGAGCAACTTTGAGAGACTGAGCTCTGTTTCACGAAGTGCATAGCGTCTCAGCTTTGATGAGGTACAACCATGGATGATTTGTGATTTCACCTCACTGTTCTTGTCATGGAATTCACAAGTTTTGGCGAGTTGTTGCAGGCGGGTTGCAAAATCTGCGACAGTTTCGCTGTGTTGTTGTTTTGCCTCACGAAAAACAAAGCGTTCGTCCTCGATGTTCTTGCTCGGTTTGAAATACTTTGCAAGAGCACTTTGCCCTGATTCATATGTAGAACCAGTGTCCAATAGAGTCTCGAAGATGTCCATTACTTCAGGGCCAGAGTAATGTAGAAGCAATGCCCGCTTTTGTTGGTCGTCATGACTTTGAATGCAACAAACAAATTCTCCAGCCTGACTATGTATTTCCTCCACCGTACGCCGGTAGTAGATGGTTCATGATGAGGCTGGAAGGCTGGGAATGACGGTAAATTAGTTGCGGACATGTCGACTATCACAGTTATTGTACGGCGGCGAGGTATATTACTACTGGTTAATGCGTGTTACGTAGACACATGTACGGAGACGAAACGTTTTGACGTTACTCACTGACTCAGTCTTTCTGACGTGGAAATGTACTGTTCACGGTTACAATCGGCGGTAAAATTCACTTTGCTAATGTTGTAGGGTTCCTCCACAACACGGAAAAATCCCGGACTCGTCGCCAATTGTGATATCCTAAGGCGTTTAGCTTAGAATGAGAGAGTGAGACATACACGCTGTTTTGGGTGGCTGTACTGCAATCACGAGGAGTGCGTGACCCTTGACCTTTAATGCCTTCCAAGAATACTACAATGTATACAATCTGTAAGCCAGGCATTAAGTTTCATGTTAGCCACAGACAAGACGACAGATGTCCTGAAGTCTGTACCAGGACAGAGCTTTCATGTTATGCTCCCATGGCTATTGACCGAATAAATTCATACCAGCTCCAACTCGAAGGCCCTATGTTTCCACCATGACATGTTACAAACAAAAACGAGATGACCAGAACAGATGCTTGTAAGTGAGAAAACAAAACAATAATTAGTTTCACAAGTTGACTCTACGTGAACTTATTAATTAAACCTCATATCAAGTGAAGTTTGTGAACACAGTTTTCATGATTTTTCTAAACTGAAGCTCTACAAAAAGATGATTTTTTAGTCCGAATATTAAAAAAAATCAATCCAGTGATTTAAAAAGCAACTATTGTGCTATAACATAATGGTTGAAGAAATATCCCATTTTGCATATCGCAAACTTTGTCGAAACTTGATATGCATTTTATATCTTATTTCTCAGGGCTAAAGTCAAAGATCCTCATCTGCCAAGGTTTGCTACTATAATAAATATCCAGCACACCCACAACCAACGGCTAGTCTGTGCTGATGCCTTCAAATTCCGTGATGTTTCTGAGGACTCTGTGATTGCCAAGTTCACTAAGCTGTACTCCAAGGGACATTCACCTTCATCCACCCTGAACACCCACAAGCTGGACTTGCAGTTGGAACATGGAACTGACTACCTCTATGTATCCGCTAACAGAGCAAAGTGCCCTGACCAGCATTTTTGCCACAGGTACTTGTCAACATCAAATGTGGTATTTTGTATCCAAGGCCAGAAAACTTACACTTTTAGGCATAAACTTTGACTGGCTGACTACAAATGTCATCACCTTTAGTGGTCATGAACCAAAGTGGACTAAAACATGTTCAACACATTTCTGAGGTCTTGTGTGATAAAGATTATGATGCTCCCTTTTTGAGTGCAGCTTAAGGTATATCAATGCACCTGAGGGTGTTGAGATGTCTTACACTTACTTATCCCAAAATAAAACAAGCTTCACACCGCATAGCCCTGAACAACAATCATTGCACCTAAAACTTTATAATTAAACCTGTCTCTTTTGATGATGTTCAAGTTTGGCTGGTGGAATCTAACAGTCCAAAACAAAGTAATAATCATGGGTCTATACCTAGCCAAAAAAAATCATAAAACTTTATTTCAATGAAACCAATGCATTTAAAGCAAGTGCACTTTTCATTTCCTGAAAGATCATGAGATATATATCATTGACCCAAATTGGTTTTCATGTCAGACACTGTTGTGATGGCTGTGTGTTTAATGAACATTGAAAACATCCTGTAATCAAATCAACCAAGAAGCTTTTGGAAGACCAATTATTCTACTCAACGACAATAACATTAGGCACATTTTTAATATTACCCCAGCTTTTCTGCAAACATGTCAAATTTTCAACTGAAAGGTTTTTGGTGGGACAGGCTGTATTTGCTACACCCACAATAAAGGTACAAATAACGTTACGAAATTTCTTGTAATTCGGACAAACAACACTATACTTCATACGTTTATTTCTCTTATTTCTTTCAACATTTAGATTGTACAGGAAAATCTTTGACAAGGCTTATGGGGCAGCTTCCGGTGAGAAAATGACACATGACCTTGAAGTTTCCATCAAGTCTTACAATCAGGAACGGGGTCTAGAGTGCTGCAAAATGGATCAGGTGAATGGCAATTTGGTGATTGCAGTGTGCACACCCCTTGTGCGAAGGATCCACTCCAAACATCAGTGTAGCGGGGAGCTTGTATTTGTGGATGCATCAGGTGGGATAGATAGATATGATTGTAGAATGTTTATGATTCTGACACACAGTGTGGCTGGAGGATTGCCACTTGGATGTTTGATAACCACATCTGAGTCTAAAGAGACTGTTGTTGCAGCACTCAAGTTGTACCAGCGGATGATTCCAGAGGATGGTTTCTATGGAAGAGGAGAACAAGGCCCAGTTGTTTTCCTCACTGATGACAGTGACAGCGAACGCCAGAGTCTACAGAAGTATTTCCAAATTCAATCACCCTCTTGTGTGTCTTCCATGTACTTCAGGCCACTTGGTGATTTCTGTGGGAAGGCAAAAACAGCATCCGTAAAGAAGACCGACCCCATTTGTTGGAATTAGTTAAAGGCATGGTGTATGCTGACACAACTGAACATCTTGAAGAGATGTATGACAAAATGAACAGAGATGCCATTGTCAAGAAATACAGCTGCTTCCTGAAGTATGCTAAACACCTGTATGATCGAAGACAGCTGTGAGCAATCTGCTTCAGACGTGACCTACCTCTTCGTGGGAATAACATAACTAACTATGTGGAGGCCTCGATGCGAATCATAAAGGATCAGATCTTTCAGCGTGTAAGGGCGTACAATCCTGTTCAGCTTTTGAATTTCTTGTTGACAAGAATGGTCACTTACTACGAAAGACGGTTATCTGATCTAGCCAAAAGACGAATTGATGCAACCATATCCAAGAGATATCTTCCCGGGAAGGGTAAGATCACTGCGGAGATGGTGAATGAGTTGGAGTTCCCCCTCTTTGAGGTTCAAAGTGAGTCAGATCCGGATAAGAAGTATCAAGTTGACATGTCAATGGCAATGTGCACATGCAATGCAGGCCTCAACGGTGCACCTTATAAGCATCAGTATGCAGTTGTTAAGTTCCGTCAGGTGCAGTCTTTCAATTTTTTCCCCATCAATGATGAGATCATGCGCCATAGGTTACCCTTCTTAGCTACTGGACAAGATCATGTGCCTGAGGGTTGGTTTGCACCCCTTCGTATGGATCACATTGAAAGATCCATGTCAAGAACAGCAGAAATGCAAGAAGTGGAACAAGTGCCTGACTCAGTAAACATGAACATTCCTTCCAAAGAGGATGAAACTGAAGAAACAAGGCAGCACAAAGACCTTGGGAGTTCTGCACAGGAGTTTAGACTAGATGACTTGGAGGCAGGATTGCATTCCTTTGCATCAAAGCTCACAGACCAAATGAGGGAGAACCCAGAAGAACTTGCACCAGCTGTACGCACCTTCATCAGACAGTTTAAGAACTCAAGAACTCACTCATCAACAGTTTCAGCATTAATATCATTCGGCAAATACTGCGGAGTAGCCCAGTCATTAAGTCATCGACAGAGGGGCAACCTTCGTAGAAAAGGGGTCCCTATTGGGGTACAGCCTACTGCTGTTGCATGAAGAAGCACACATCTTGGGGGGAGACGATGTCTTCATACCGGTCGGAAATGTAAAGCTGCAGTACAAGACTAGGGTCAACTTGTCCCCAAAAAGAGGCAGGAAGGGCACCACATAATCTGGCAAGGTGTGTTCAAACAAATGAAAACATTGGCAAAAGCCATACCTCAAAATGGTAATTTTACTATGAGCATTAGTGCTCTTTTGGAATTTGAGATTACTATCAATTCATATACCACAGCATAGATGTAATTGCCACAATGTGAAAATATGTACCATTTTTAAGTACCAGCAACAAACTCAACAATTATGTGATAAATGTAGCAATACGAGAATATGGTCACAAGGATTAACTTACAGAAATGATTAACTTGTACAAGAGTAGTTGTTTCATTTGTTAAATAATAACCATACTGGTACTGTTTTCACGGACTTAGTATTGTGAGTACTAATTGCAAATAATTCTTCTCTCAAATTTAATCATTGGGACAATAGTGGCAGTTGATCTTTTCATGCTTACCCATGCACATTCAATATACCCGTTGCCTCCATTGCATGCGAGTCACATCAACCTTTACTAGGAATGCAAATGCTGGAATGTTTTAACAAAATGTGGCCATTCCTGTACTTTAGTACTTGTGCTTGAAAATTCGTGTTATTCATTTCAAGGAAATTGATTGTCTTCTGTGTAAGTCCATATAACAGCCCAATCTGAACTTTGAGTTCCCTTTTTTTCTTGCAGCAAAGTATTCAAGAAACGGGCTCAAAGACAGATTGTCTCAGCAGTATTTTCTGTCAAGTTTGCTGTGTGCTTTTTAGAGTCCGTGACAGCGAGTCTCCTGATTAATAAATGAAACAGCGACACAGTGGAAAAGCTTTCTTATGGATTAAATAGGAACTGTTAGGCTGCGCCTCCCTGTTGTGATTCTTGTATTTTCGAAGACTCAAATTATACAGGGGTGAATCAACAGTGTTCAAACTAGAATAGAAGTACATGTACATGCAATAAAAGCGGCATACAATTTTCATAAAACAAGAGCATGGCCTCTCTTATGTTTAAAAAGGAATGATGTAAATATAAGTGTGCTTATTGTTGTCTAATACAAGCAAGATTTTTAGTGACACAAATTTTATTGCACTGAGCATATTTCAGATCTCGCTTGTGGAATGAAATATAAACAATAGCGATGAAATACTGGAAATAAAGCAGTGAGAAAATGCGTATTTTTTGCATGGCCAAGGAATTCGGACTTAGTCGAAGTTTTTTTTAAATAAAGCTGTTATGAATCTAACTATACAAATCGACATCACAATTTGCCGCCGTGCAGCGACTAACATAACGTTCCTGCATGCTGTGCGTATAGGATTCATATAACAGAGGGGTATCGTTACTTTGTACTAGAAACGTATGCGTGCTTTTCTTTTTCTTTCATTTTATACTTCTTGAAACAAGCAAGAAACACAGCGTCGTGATTGCGACTTTATCCGTATTTTTAGTACGGCGACAGTAATCGCGAACAGCTTTTGCGTACTACGCGAGAACTGCGATGTTTACGTTTTCATGAATGGATGAAGTAATGGTTGCGGCCAGCCAATCAGATGCAGTCAAAGCACACTCCATTGCAATGCCGTTTGGTAAAAAAATTCGCGCACGGCATAGCCTGACACTTTTTTTTCGGAATGAAATAACAACATAAAAAACATCTGTTCTTCACTCTAAACTCACTATTAAAGCCGTATTTATGAAACAATCTTGGTCTCCTTCTTCGCCTCGTTCACCAACGGTGGCCCCATCGTCAGCCCGATCGGGATCCCGTTGGCGCTCTGGTGGCACGGTGGGTTGGAAGGTAAGGCTAAGCGCCACGGACTTTGTATTCTTCGTCGTCCTCGGGTTCTTCTTGGTCTGGTGAGCTGATATTGTCTGAAGAAGAACCGCTGTCTGACGAGTTCATCACTTCTTCATCAGTACTATACCCCTCTCAAGAGTTGTCCCTTAATGTCGGGTCCTTCGCTTTAAGCCGTTTTTTAGGAGAATATCTCGGTCCTTTCAGTTACTAGACTGCGAGCTTGAGCCAGTGTAACTGACACACGCGTTGCCATAATTATGTGCATTTTCGTGGCCGCGCCAGCAAAGTGTGTACAAGCAACAGCCGGGCAACCGTTTCGGTGGTGCAACGTTGACAAAAGCCGTATTTATAATATGTAAATGAAGGGATAACGGCACTCTTCTTTCACGAAAGCTAGCCATGGTAAAGTGAGTTTTTAACCAAAAATATTGCTGAATCCGGTTTTATGTGACATAGATGGGTATAATGGGTTCCAAGTACAATAAGACTACAGCCAGATTTCTTCCATTTTCAGCCGTTGGGCCTGCTCTTTAAAGGAGCAGATCGATATTTCCCTCGAGTTTTCAAATGAACACATTCCTTTTTAAACTGCCTGAACGGTCATTCATCTATGTCTAGTCCGTAGTCTCCGTTTTTGAAAGTTTGACAGCATTCAAACTCAAATGAGTAGTTTGCAGTTGATTTTACGGTTTTGTACGTATCATGTGAGAGAAGTTTGAAACACACGCATGAAAGGTTGAGATTCAAAAACACTATTTTGTAATATAAGGTAAAGGAAGGTATAGGTAACAAAGTATTTTGCTCTGCTCAGCTGTGAGACTATAAATGTGGATCAAGGTAACTTTGATTCCATAAATTAATCACGGTGAGCTTGGCAAAGTCTGTCCAGTTTACATGTTAATTAGGCCATGTTCTGGCAGATAGATCAGATGCATTGGCAATTATTAACTTTTCTCTGGTTAGGGTGACATCACCTACCCGTTGTGTTGCTATACTATCAACCTCGTTACCAGTCTTGATCAGGATTAGATTATTTAATAGATGCAGGAGACACTATGTCTACGGGCCGTATAGGCTCTAATGTCCCATATAGGCGCCAGTGCTGTGTATACATCCACTTACGCCAAAGGCCTGTATAGACTAAATTTTGAGCGTTTCGCTGACTTCTGCCATCCAACCCAGGAGTTATTAGTAGGCCTCTGCATTCCAAAGTCAGCACTTGGTGTGGCTTCTGGTTTAAACGTTGATAGCTTGTAGTAAATATATATGCATGACTGCATCCCCTTGATTGAAGTTTGATAGGGTGCATGGTTATCGATATAGGCCTAGCCAGCAAGTAGCTTAGGTAAAGGTGGATGAAAAAATTGGAAAATATTTAGTGGTGTGGCTTTTCACACTCTTTTGGAATAAAAAGAATGAACTTGCAGAAAGAAGTAGCCTTTAACTGATAATTTTTCAAAAACAAAGCATTTGTTTACCCTCTTGGGTATTGCAAGGCCCCTCCCCCCGAATGGGTTGAGGGTGACACAATGACAAACACTAGAAATATGATTTATTTCTATTTGAAGATAAAATCCAATTGCACGATTAACTACATTTTGATATACGTGTATTTCAGTGGTTGTGGGCTTGAAGTGGAAATCAAATTGCAGGGTTGGGGGAAACTCGCCTGGAATGTAATTACATTTTTTAAAAAAAAAATCTAAATGTAAATTTTCAATTTAGGTCAGGTTAAAGGAAATATTATTCCGAGTAAAAAAATAACCTATCATCTATGAGATTGTGACTTGACTGGTTCCCATGGTAAATAGGAGAAAAACATTAACCAGTTTTACAAGCCACTCCGCTCAAAGAATTGTACCTTTGTTGCCAAAGACTTTGTTACTACCACTAGGGTATGACGTACTTGCTGGCACCAGCTTGCAACGCTGAGAGGGGTCGAGGCTAGTTGTTAAAGGGGCAAGTTGCTACCTCGCTGTTTTTCTGAAAGATAAAACATTCCAGGAAGATTTAACCCAGTTACAAAATTGCCAATTCAAACTGCATCTTCGTGTGAGAATGAAAAAGGTTTTTTAAGCAACATATGTCTCTGTCGTACATAAGAGGGATCGCGGCAATTTCTGAATTGTATAATTACTCAACTTTCTCGGGGAGAACATGCCTTCTCCAGCGTATTCGCCAAAAATTGTATTTTTTTTTCAAATAACAAATAACAAGGTAAATTGTGAAATGTTTTACATGTATTGTGCAGATACTACTAGCTCTTGGTGCAAGCCAGTGACAATTTTCCTTCACGCCTGACTGCTCCATTCCGCTGATCAAAAAATATTTCGCACGCTGACAAAATGCAAAGAGTAGAGCTGTTTCATTTTGTGGCTTTTATCTCTGTTTAGATGACAATTGTAACTTGTTTCTTTCAGTGCAACTCCAGGACCATGCAGGTACACTTTTCAGAATTAAACTCAGATCATGTCATGCTGCTTGACAGCCTTGCGAAACAACGAAGTCATGCCTCCCTTTTCACTTTTTTTTCACGAAGTATGGAATTTAGTGGTAACAAACAAGAGAGACATCGTTGTACTCCATGCCAGCATGCATAGTTCTGCTTTAGCGTGTCAACGCAGAGTTGGCAAAGTCGAAACGTCGCGGTGATTGCGAATCAGAGACTGATTAGCTATGCTCTCTGCGTCTCCTTATGTCGATAAAGAAACCAGGCTATATTCTCAGTCAACGAAGTGACGTGTTATTAGTACACGGACTACTGACATTGTAGCCTGAACAACGCCACAAGAGAAAGATTGATTAGCTGACAAAGGGTGACACTCGTGGGATATGTGTACAATTATATGTTTGCAGTTGGGTGTCGTGTTGCTATTGTCACCTCTGTCATGTTTAAGTGGTCTTTGCTTTCGAACGTTCTTTTACAGTTGCCCCTCCCCTACTTTTTAATTAAGGGCAGGATCAGCCTGGTATATCGGTGGGCCTAGTTATTCCTTTGGTAGGATTGCCTGGTTGACGTGTTTGACACTCAGTTGTTCCAAATTTATGTCTATGGCATAGCCTTTTAATAAGGGAATAAAGTGCTTGGCCGGTCATAAACGTGTGTTTTGTGTTCATTCTCCTGAGCCGTTGAACGTTAGTGAGAACGGATATTTCCCGAACACCCCAATCCAAATTATGGTATATTCCGTGTGCAAGTTGTCCAAAAGAATATTCTTATATGAACTTGGTGTGTGCGTGGCGAACCGCATACACACAGACTCTTGACCAATTAGAATCGATAAAGGTGTCTCGTATCCATGTGCCAGGGCATGATTTACGCAGTGAGCATTATACTTTCCCGCGGGAATTATCAAATGTTCATACACGGTCAAGTTGCACATTGTTGAATAAGGAGACTATCTGCCTTATTTATGAATAATTATTTTGTTTTTCTTTTATTGTTGTGCGTTTCAAGATCTACATGTGTTGTAGTATTTATACAATTCTTTCTTTTAATAATTATGCTGGT